TAAAATTTATATTAATTCAACTCATCTAAATATTAATGATATCAAATAAAAAATTGCACATGAATATATATATAAGGTTAACTCATCACCCGCTGATAGATTTTTTTTTCAAAAAAGCAGAGTTATGGAGTTTGGCATGCGGCTTTCTTTCTTTCTTTCTTTCTTTTTTACAAAGGTAATAATTATTAATTAAATTAAAAAATATTAATAATTAAAAGTTCAATCCAAAATAAGTGACCTCTCACCCTCATTAAAGCGCGCGACCCATCGGTCGCATGGTGGAACTCTTTTCTTTTCTTTTATTTACTACTGCGTTTAGGATTCCTCGGCTGATGAACTAGTACATTTTATTTCCACCTCAGGCTAACCTGCCTTCCTGTTTTCCAGATGCTATATATATATATATATATATTATTTTTTTCCCTAAGAGTAACTCTGAAGTTTAAACTAATAATAATTTGTACTTTTCGTTTTGCGTAGACTCGTGGATGAACACTTTTCCACTGAATGAATGGAAAGCGGTTTATTGAGGTGGTTGGGTCCCAGCAATTCAGTGAAAAAAAAAAAAAATCAACTTCCACATCCTTTCTTTCTTTCTTTCTTTCTTTCTTTCTTTTCATGCCCGTAGATTGTGGATATAGCGCTACAAACGTGAAAGACAGAATTGTCCAGTTCTTAAGTTTGAAGCTTTTTTGTTTATTCTGTTCAAAAAATGGAACCAAGAATTCAGTTGCTTTTTCTTCTTATTATTATTACTTAACGAAACTTTTGTTGATTTGGGAAATGAGATATTTCTGCAGACGTTTCTCTTTATCATCTTCATTTGGAGAAAAGGAAACGAAACCACGAGTCAATTAATACTGAATATCGGAAGCTTCCTAATTAAATGATGATTATAGACTTGATCTTCATTTCTAGATTGCTCATTGTTACCCTTGAAATTTATTAAAGCAGTTATTGTGGGTTGCTGGCTGCAACTAGAAATAGGAGCTGATCTACTAAGTTTGCTTCTAAATTCCGATGTTCTTTCTGGTACATACATATAAAAAAGTTAGTTCAGTCTTAATTCTTCGATGCTTGTGACTTTTAAATTGTTTGGCAATTAAATCTCTTTCAAATTGTGAAGGGTTAAAAGTTAAAACTTATATAAACTCCTTTTAGTTAGGACTCAATTGATTTCAAATCATTGGGATATCAGACTCCAAAATTCATACTACCGTATCGAGGGAAACTACATTCGTTTTTGATTCTGATGCAGCTGCTGCTCTAATTTCACTCAAGGCTGAGTGCAAGAACTTACCCCCCAATTGGTCGGGCTCAGATCCTTGTGGTGATGGCTGGGTAGGAATTGGGTGCACGAATTCACGTGTCACCTCGATGTAAGTTCTTGGTTAATTTCCACCTCCTGGATAAACGCTTATTCTTTCTCTTCAAGCTTCTGAGGATTGATCTGTCTCCCATCTGTTGCAGAAGATTGGGAAACTTGGGCTGGGAAGGGCTGGTGTTTGGTGACATTCCATCCTTAACTGAATTACAGACTTTGTAGGTCTCTATCTGAAGTTCACATGGGAGTCATTTCAAAACTAACTTGTTCATTCTCCTCCATTTAAGACAATATTCATTTATGTGATTGTGCTGCTCAGATTTATAAAGTTTCATTTAAATCTAAGGCTTAAGTGAAACATATTATCTTTACGCATTATATACAAAAAGTTTAGTGGTGATTATAATAGAGAACACGAAGAACATGATAGTCTGCTGTTTTGTCAGCTAAATATGCCTCCCTACCAAAGGTTCAATATTGACATGGTAATGCTTGTTGCTTGAACTTCTCTACCAGTTTTACACTTAATTGATGTTAGTTAATTTGAATGTAACTTAGGCCATTATGATGCAAATAATGACTTGTAGTTGCAGATATCTTTGATCTTGTGTGCTGTTTCTTCATCCTTTTAGGACAAACTTGCGCACTTGTAGAATATTTGGCTCCATTATTAGTTTTGTAGTGTTACTATTTACCACTCTACTATTCCCGTCTAGTTTTCCATTGATTCTGGTAAGGATGAGGAAGTCTGACTTTAGGGTTTTACATTTTGTTGCCTTTCATTCTGGACACCTTCAAAGTCTCCTTTCTTATACCATCTTTTTGCAGGTTCAGTTCCCTCTCTTGTCTCGGTTGAATGATGCATACGTTGAGCTGCCGCCATTTCAAGATGCGATGCCAGAGAAGCAACCCGATGCTCCTCCATCAGTAGTCAGTTAACGATGTCTTACTTTCAGCAACCGTATGGGATTCAATGGATCTTTTAAATAGGTGGAGATCCGAAGTAAGGCTGCAAAATTTCGTAACTCTGCAGAAACTTGTGGAAGTGATGGAATAAAGTTGTAGACTATATAAATATATGTAGTTTTTAAGCGCATATGGAATTTTTATTTACAATAATAAAGTACAATTTCTGTTGTACTAATATGAAGTTAGGTATCTTTCAAGTTTTAATTGAGTAGGTTTAAGTTTTATATTAAATTTAAATAATAATTTTTACATGGTTCAACATTATGTTACAGATTAACTTTACATTTAATTAAAAGTTTTTGGGGGTGTATGTAGAGTGCATAAGGTATCAAGTCCATTTTGAAAGTCATATATATAATATGGTCAAGGGAGTGCTATCATTATTAAACATTAATGGAATTGATTGGTGCAAGCAAGAAGAGCCGTGCTTGGAATTGCTAACTGCCTTGTCAAGA